AGAAAAGTTTGAGAACGACGGCAAATCTAAGATACTTGAACGGCAAGAAAATTCGACCTCGGGCGGGAAATGGAACCCGCGTCTCACTCATACTGCAGGCAAGCGCTACCATTACACCATCGAAACCATTGCTTTGCCAACACTCAAAGCACGTATCGCTTCGCACCCTTAGGCTATCACCATTCTGTATTTTTTATTCTCAGGATTTCTTTCATTACAAATTCTATCCAATGATGTTGAACGTGTGTGCAAACTTCCGGGTCGGGCGGGACTCGAACCCGCATTTCACCCTATCCATGGAGACGCGTGCTCTAACCCGCTTCACTACGAAGGCGTGTTTCGCCACCACTTTTTACGCTATCCTCGTTTTTTGCTTCATTGCTTTTTTTGTAGTGTTATGGTTCTTCGGATAAACCGAAGAGAGTTGAGTGGCGAGCAAAAATTCGACCTCAGGCGGGAATTGAACCCGCATATAACGCTTGCCTAGGCGAGTCGGAAAATATCATAACACTACGACACAACAGTGTAACATTGAAAAAAAAGTCTTGAGTCTTTAAATCGTTGAAATTGGGCAAAACATCTAAATTTGGGGCTGATTTGAGAGGGAGAATCTAGCGAAACATGCGAAACGCGATTGGGCGTGATCTTTATTGAATGGAAGAGAAAAAACAGAGAACACTGAAAGATCAATAACAAAAGCGAAAAGAAGCCGATCAGCGTCAGTAAATGACTGGCAAACTCTCATAAAAATCAGAACCATGATGTCGTTGAAATCATTTTTTCGAAATTCGCGGATTCAAAACGATAAGATTTGGCGGAGGAAAAAACGAGATTCTCTGGTGAAATTGTATCACCGCAACGGCCTCTCACCGGCGCCTTATCATAGTTATAAAACAAATTTAATTAAAATATAATTACAATATAAATATATATAAAAATGATATAATAATTTAATATAAAATATGATAATAATAAATATAATATATATATATAATATAAATTATAATTAAAAGTGAAAAATAGGAAATAAAAAAAATCTAAAAGTATACGATATCAAATTTCTGCAGTGCACCACTCGATAAAGACGAGAAAAACTATATGAAGTCGTCTATTTTCCGCTAAGAAATGCGAATTTGAAAATGGCGGGCGTGTGAGCGGCAACTCGTCCGCTTACCCATTGACAATGCACGTTGGCATTCAGTCGTGACTGGTGCGTAGATCACGAGCCGTTTATCTTGGCTTTTCCGTAGTTGCTGTTTTTTCTCTGAAATAAATATCAATTTTTGCCGGTAGTCATAGGATTTGAACGGTTGTGAACACGACAGAATTCTATTAGGTTGTCTTGGAAGTTTTGGCACCAGAGCAAAAAAAAAACGAAATCTATTAATCAGAAGTAATTGAAATCAAATGATTTTGGGATCATTAAATTGCGCATTTTATTGCGAACATTTTGGTATACAACTTGCGTATAGTTGCCTTAAGATTGAGCTGTATTGGGAACATATCCGCTTGCTACTCATGCACGAATGGCAAGTAGGGGAAAATGCTAGTGAAGCGTTGCGAAAGATTAATGGAACATGGGAAGATGAGATTGCAGAAAGGACGGCTAGGAAGTGGTCCGTGATGTTCGAAGCTGGAGAGAACACTCCGGAAGGATCAGTCCCGTTCAGACCGTCCAGAGGAAGCTTCATCAATTTTGCGCGCCGTTTCACCAGCATTTTCCCCTACACTCCATTCGTTCTTGAGTAGCAGACGAATTCGGTCCTCAAGACAGCTCCTCCTTAGAACAAGTATAGACAAGTTGCATGCGAAATGCTCACAAGAAAATGCTCAATTGAACGATATGAAAACCATGCAGTTTTATTTATTTCTGGTTATTAAATTCGGGGTTTACTGATCCAACCACAACCTCAACGACAAAATTCTTAATATATCATAAACATTGGAATCACTAAATATACACCCAAACTTTTTAAAACCTCTATCAACATAAAAAATTCAATAATTGTTAAAAATTTGAGTGGTTTCAATTACTAATATTTTTTTTTGATGGGGGGGGGGGGTAATCTTGTTGTTGCAATTGAATAAAAAAACCCCAACCAAAATCTATGGAACGACCCATTACGGGAGGGTTTCTTCTATCGTTCTGTGGACGGTAATTGTATGGAATTCACTGTTTATTAGGTGGCTGCTGTCTCCGTCATGTAATTATTGTTGTCACGCTGTGAGCTGAAGATCTTAGTTGACTGTCATTCGACTTCGGGTGTCTTTGTATCCACAAATTTCACACAATAAATATAAAAAACTAGATAAGTCAATTGTTTTTCGGACTACTGATCAAGGAACTTTTCTGAGAAAAGTCCTGCTAGTGTGATTAGCTGTTGAGTGAACGTAAGTACTACGCTGAAAGCAAGCTTTTGAATGCCTTTAAGAATGTACACCATAGTGTACATATCAGCTATGATCGTCTGATCCACAAAATGTCGAGCAGCCAACTCGGCGACTTCGTACCGACATTTGTATGACAATATGCCAAAATGGGGGTGCCGTGGCCGAATGTTGTGATGCTCGTCACAGCGCACACAGGGATTAAGCCCACTCCAACGCTCCTTGGCCGTGAACAGCCAACGTCCTATGGATTACCACAGTCACGTCATCCTCGAGATTCCAAGGAGACGCGCTCATCTAGTATTTTATGACGCTCAAGAAGAAGGAGAATAACGAGTGAATGGTGGAAGTAGTGAGATCGGCACACTAAAAAAAAACACCGTGAAGACGGATCAACAAAGTATAAAAGTATGCCAAAATACTTAATAAACCTATTTTTAACAGAGTCAGTTTATCCCTATGGCCTTTGTACACTGATTTTCCCAAAGTGATCCTAATTTTTCAATCCTAGACTTCTTTCAAACAGTTGTAAAAACCTTACGCTAACTTTTGTTGTCTGCAACAACTATAACGAGTTTTCTTTACTCGAGTAATACGAAGAGTAGCAGAGATCGTTTCAAGGCCTCCATTAGATACAATATCTATCCGAAGTTTCGGATGACATTCTAGTTGTTCGGACACTTCATTCATACAGTTTATTTCATATTTTTATCAAATTTTGTCTTTAAATGGCAATAGCACCTCCGGCCTACGGTAGTCTTCCTGACTATTCACATGTTGCTAATGTCGGAAACCGAATTCAAATTAAATCACTTTTTTGAAGCGATTAAATGTTATTGTCTCGGGATCATTTATTAACATCAATTAAACGCTCAGTGGATAACAGACCACTGACATATTGAAGTAAGATGAATGGTACTCAAAGGCATGAAACATAGCGACAGTGTTAAAGATGTAATCCTATAAATTATAGTTTAGAGGAGTCGAAGTATGTGGCTTTTGGCGCTGACCAATCCTTGAAAGATTGCGCCCTGTACTCGTCGCTGATTTTTAGCTTCGTCAGGAGTGGTTGAAATGCATATCTGGCCCTTACAATGGACTCGCGCTCACCGATGTATCAGGTCAGTGCTGCTATCCTCCCAAACAATCTGATATCGCACCATCGACCATTGACTGACGAACCACGTGCGTCGCAGAGCATTTCTAACCACTATGCCAAACGCGCTCATACAAAAACAATGGGTCGTAAGTCAAAACGATTGTAATGTCCAGCTAAATTTTTGAGAAAATGGCCATAATTTTTGGTCAACTAAACACAGTTTTGCATGATTTTTTGCATCTGTGACGCAGTGACCACAGCTGGTTTACCATACACAACTCTTCTATTTAATCGCTAGCTCACGCGAACAATCTTTTCATCTATCTATAACTAACGAGTTGATGCCACTGTTTTCTCTGTAGCGGCTAATTCTTTGGCTTCCGAGGACCCAACTCCGTGGAGACTAAGGGACCCAAATTATCAGCTTCTCCTATCTCAGCGATACACTATACTGCAGTGGAATGGAGCACGTCTTCTATCACGCTCTACGTCACTAAACATGCATTACTGGGGATTGGTTCAGTTTGTGTAACAACTCAAAGCATACTTTCTTCCTGCTCGAATGATTAGATATTGGATAACATTTAGTAACTTCCCACTGCAGTGACGAGATTATAAACACATATCGGCATTACAGCCAATTAATTAGCCTTAAGCCACCAGCCTTCCATATAACTGGCTGTAATGCCGATTATGTTTACAATCTCGTTAGTGTAGTCATGAATTACTAAATGTTGCCCAATGCCCAGTCATTCCAGTAGAAAGATAGAATGAATTGTGATGCTGCTTAGATTGAATCAAACCTCAAATATTAATCCTTAGTGACATAGAGCGTAATAGAAAAGGTGTTCCATTCCACTGAAATATAAGTTACCGCAAGCGGGAGTCAGATACGCAGAAAACTTGAGCCCTCTAGTCTCCAAAATTGTTTTCATCGTCCTCGATGATGCTTAATACGTTTTCTCGCTATAGGAAAAGGTTTACAACAATTCGCATAGATCCACTTGATGAAATGAAACGAATGCGATAACAAGTAATTTACATTCCGTATGACGATGAAGATCATAGTGGTCCCTTCTCCCTACATGAAAGGAATATTCCTCCTCTAGACCCTGAATTATGAGAAATCGATCTAGAGTTTCTATTCAACTAGAATTCTCCAAAATACCGCTCTTAGCGGCAGTCACTTTACACTTTATTTGATCCGTCTTCACAGTTTTTTTTTCACTTTCCGGATCGCAGTACTTCCATCAATCAATTCGCTTTTTTTGTCTTCTTCTTGAACGTTGTTAAATACTGATTGAGCACGTCTCCTTGCAGTGTCGAGGATAGCCTGGCTATGGCGTTCTGTAGCGAGTTCATTGCTGACTGCCGGAGAGTGGTGGGGGACGGGATTTAGCCCGAGCGCGCGTGCCACGACGAGCATCACAATCGCTCCGCCACGGCGCCCCCTTCAGCGATAGTGTGATGTTATAAACATATACAATATTGCTGAGTTACATATACAATTTTAAACGTCGGGCGGGATTCCAAGCTGCATCTCACCCTTTCCGGGGACGCGTGCTAACCATTGCGCTACCGGCGCTCGTTCTGCCACCATTCTTTCTGTGATGCGACTGTATCAGCTTATCAGCAACCAATCGTCAACGATTTGGCCAGGCAAGCCGATATTGGCATCGAAGCCAGTCATACCAACAGAAAATGTGTATATGCATTATCAACTAGAATTCTTTTCAATAACTGCTTTGGCGGTGGTATGATGTTACCATACGGGTTCAAATCCCTCCGACGTTCAACGTTTTCACTCGACTGTGATAATGATGATTCTGTATGACCATAGCTTTGTTACTCAGTGCACAAAGGTTCTTCGTAGGACACACAGCAACATGAAAAGCGAATTTCGTTGTTAACCAGCGACATGCCGTTGATATAAAGAGACTGCTTCGGAGAAAAGAATCACATCAGCAAATTGTTCACCTCCACCGTTAAGTATGCTGTGAAAAACATATCTTTCCCTACTACCACTAGGGAATTTACGAAGCGTGTGGCTCTGATGAGGCGAGCCAGATCGCCGAAACTATGTAAGTCACTAACGTACAGCCCTCGAAATGCTTCAGAACATTCTCTCTGACTAATGTTAGATATTAGGTTACAAGGAACTGTGCGTTAGATTATGATAGCTACACCGATTTGACTCTACCAATGACGTCATTGTTGCAGCATCACCTCTTTCTTCATGAAAATTCCAATCAGAAGGTTCCGCGTAATTATGCTTATTGAAGAATGGCAGAAATAATTCTAGTTTGCGGCACTAATGGTTCAACATTTATTGAAGACTTGTTGACTTACTTGATAAATCTTAAGGATAGGTGAAAAAAAGAGATGATCTTGATATTTATCGCTGTATCGCCGATCATCGCTACCACTATCTTCGGAGAAATGAGAGAAAATAAGTTAATGGTTATACTGCTCACTTAATCACTGCATATTTACTGGATTCTTGTCCATTATTAGGCGACAAATGAATATTCAATCACAAGAACTTTTTGAAGGAGTGTTAGCATATTTAAAAGCTCAACTTTCTGGCTAGCTCAGCACGTGGCCGAGTCTTTTTAAAAGACCCTTTTATAACGCTGCAAAATTCAAAATTAAGTTATGCTTCACATCGGCCGCTTATTTCAACTGTTACATCGCCGGAAGCACGAAAAGCACATGAGCGCTTGGAGTAAATTTTGTGGTGTTAATCTAGAGTTTCTATCAAAGCGAAGAAGCAATTCCTGGTTGAATAACAAACATTGCATTTTCATGTGAGAAATCGATCGATGATCGCGCCAGCTCCCCTGCCTCCCTACTCCGCGTCTCATGAGTTGGCCAAAGAACACATGATCGAGTATGTGACTGATAACTATTTCTCTGCTACACTGTAGAGAAACGATTTTCCAGGAAATAAGCAAAGCCTTGCAATCTTTGAATCTTACGCTGTTGAATGATTACTGATAGCCTAATAAACATCTCTGTCTTGCAAGAAAAATGCGCGTGTGAAACACAAAGGTTTTCCTGCTGTGAAAACGTCAAAAAAGGTTTTTACAAAAAACAACCACGTATCGTGCTAACCAGAGATTTGAGCTTTCGAATCACTAATACTCTTATAAAATTTCTTATAGTTCATTTTAAAAGCCGTAAGCTCGACTGCCGGTCACCACAAAGTCAGGTAATAACATCATCCTACTTTGGGTGCTTAATTTTACTCGGCGTCGGTTCCTTTGGAGGATTGTTTCACCTCAAGGGATCGACGGAACCGAGGGAGGGTGCTACTGATGAGTTCCAATAGGACGAAATAGGCGCCTATATAGCACTAGACCTATGGCTCAAAATATGTCATACTCTTATAGAAGTTTTTGTCCAGCAAATGGGTCTATTATTCATTCGTCGCTTTATAATAGAAAAGTACTTTCTTACTCGGCATCATTATTTATAATTTTAGCTAGAGACACATTTTTTTTGCGAGGGCACATTCCAGCCCATCTGACGAACACTCAGATGCTCCTGGATCGTCTACGTAACGCGTCTTTGACGTCACTGCTCTACACACCCACGTGTCGAATGACTCCGCATTGCAAGCCACACATGAGCTTCTGATACAACACCATGGAGCTGTAAACATGTATGGCTTGTCGATTAAGCAGTTCATGGTCCTACTAAAAGAATGTCTGGACTGCTCAGTCCTCAGAAGGTCCGAAAAATATTACGCTCAAATGAGAGGGCTGGCAATGGGGCAGCGACTGGCACCTAGCCTGGCGATTGCCTTTATGTCGAAAGTGGAAGCAGCAGTAATGGATCTCCGGCCATTACTCTACTGTAGGTATATAGATGATTGTTTGGTTATCTGCTCCACTCAAGAGGAGCTAGATAATTGCTGTAGATTGTTGAATGAGCAGTCAGAGTATACAAAATTCGCCCGTGAGATACTAAAAGATGATTGGCTTCCTTTCTTGAACGTGCAAATAAGCTTAAGCGAGAGCGGCTACATAACAATGTGGTACGGAAAGCCATGTAATAAGAATATTCTGGTTCACTATCGCTCCTCACATCCCTCACATACGAACAAGGCCTAAAAAAAAAACATGTTTCGAATAGCCGCCAATCTGTGCACCGGGGAGGAGCAGGGAAGAGATATCATGAAACTGGCTCGGGAAATAACCACTTCTAATGGATACGAATTTTTAGCCCGTCGGCTTAGGTTTAGAGGAAAGAATACGCCTCCAAACGAAAACTCAAATGAGAGGAAAGTCCCGTTCATCCTCCCGTTATTTTCAAATGAGATTAGTAAAGCTGTAAAACGTTGTTTGAAAAGAGCAGGTTTACAGCAATCGGTGGCTATTATTGAATTACCACCGAATTTTCTAAGACGTCAACTAGTTCGCAACCGCTTAAATTACCGTCTCTGTATAATGAAAGATTGTAAAATATGTCCTAACGGCAGAGACGGTGATTGCATGAGCGTAGGTGCAGTCTACCTAATATCTCGCAAAGCGTGTAGCAATAAATATATTGGCGAAACGGGTAAGCCGCTCTATGCCCGCATAGAAGAAAACCTAGCTGACAAGCGTCTTAATAGACGAAACACCCCGAAAAGGACGCATAGAGCACAGAAGCACGACGGAGTTGATTTTGACATCGATGTCACCATCCTTGTTCAGGAACAAAAAAAAAACATCAGCGCGAAAAGTTATTGAAGCACTTTGGATTAATACTACCAACATCTATAAACCGCAGGGAGGAATGCCTCGTTATCACACGTGATTTGAGCCAGCATATAAGACTGCTGTTTTGGTGGGTAAGGTGCATTACGAGTCTATGTGATCTCCTTCCGGTGGACTTCACTTGAATCGTTTGGTGGAACACATATAAAAAGCGGTGAGTATGTTGAGAGTTGATTTTGTGCTTGATGCAAATGAAATCTAGGTCTGGTGATTTTTTTCTAAGGAAGTAATGAAGGTGTATGACTTATTGGATTGCCGATAATTTGACCTTTCCTGGCTTTGAAGGAGGCGAAATGCCGAAAGTTCAGCTGTCAAATAAAGTTTAGTGTAACACCTCGTGTTTGGCTTAAAGAATAAAATCAGGAATTGTATTCAGCTAGAGAATTGATAGTTTCTGTTGTCGTGCGACAATTTTAGGTCAATGTAGTGCTAACGGCGATTAAAGCTAGATAATTTTTTTTAAAACTATACAGTAGCCGAATAGGATCTAGGGAAAGCGATTTTATTGGGAATATGGTGACAAAAGTGTAATGGTACAGTTAGAATGTTCTTTAATATATACCAGCAGCGATACATATTAAAAGATAAGTCAGCAAGTCAATTATTAAAGTATCAAATGGATAAGATAGACTTAAAACCAAAGAATAATGAGATCGAATTGCATTGACTCTTTACGTTACACAGTATCCAAATTGTGCGTGTTATTCCTTATTAAAATGGCAAAGTGAATTATTATAATACTAAGGTACACAAAAGTAGGGGTCTAATCCAGGGGATTTACTCCATGAGGTTGAGGAGTAGTAGGAGCTGGTTGCGGTGGTGGCGGTGGATTGCACCAGGAAGTGGTGGAAAAGTCCAAGGTGGTGGTGGAGAAGCACCAGGAGGTAAGTTGGGTGTGCCTCCTTGTTGTTTGGGAGTTTTAGCCGGTGTACCTTTCTTCAACAAATTGGGCTGAGTTTGCACTGCACCCCAATTACTGACACACTCGTTTATTGTTTCCTCGTCGTCCTGTGGTCGGAATTCTGGAAGAAAGAACAATAATGGCATTACTCTGTTTTACTTATGTAGTTACTTACTATGATACATGCGTATATATAACAAGGTACGCATGCATATACACGCATTTATGTATGCGAACATATATATGCATATATATGTGTATACATGAGGCCCAACAAATATTGTTATGGGTCTCATGTATACCGATGGACAAGAGCCGTCACCGACTGGATTCCTCAGGACGTCAAGCGCTTTAAAGGAAGACCACTCACCCGGTGGTCCGAATTTATCATAAAACCGATAGAAGAAAGATATGATGCTCAGCGAATCCTTAGAGCGAGGAGGGCCCACTGGGTTACTCTAGCACTCGATAGGAATAAATGGAAGAGTTGCTGGTACCAGCTCGAGTCACTCGACGATCAAAGGGACAACAGGTGATACAGATGATGTGTATACATACATATACGCATATATGTATATATATAATATACGTATATATACATATCATATAAATGTATATATATATATATACGAGCGCATGTGGCGCAGTGGTTAGAGGTGCTCTGCGTCGCACACGAGGTCAATGGTTCGATCTCGCGCTCATGGCTCACCAAGCCATCCATCCCTCCGGGGTCGGTAAATTGGTACCAGGCAGGTGTCAGACTTGTCTGGGAGGGTAAGCAGCACTGACTCGGTTCAGCGGGAGGCCACCGCGAGTCATTGTAAAGGCCAGATATGCATTCAATCACCTCAAACGAAGTTAAAAATTGAAGTCGAATGCATGGCGCATCCCTCAGGGATTGATCAACGCCGAGAGCTTTAT